TTTTTTTTGCCTAATTGTTTGTTTTTGTTTTCTTGCAACATCTTAGAAGAAGAGGCTCTTCGGCGATAATCCAGGGCTGACCAGCGGAGGCGATTTCCCCGAAATGAATCTTTCCTCCTCTGTGATCACGGACGAGGTGATCATATCATGTCATTTTCAGGTCGTTGAATGTCCTGCATTCTCCTCCTAACTAAATTTTTCCAATCATATTTTTAATGTAGAGGGAAAGATTTCGGCTGAGTTTTGGAGCCCGGGGCCATTGAAATCCGCAAAAGAAACCGAGCCCAAGGAATTCGATTTCTTTCCGAGGAGTCTGGCCTTCACAGCCGATGAGGAATCTGAGTTCGCTGGGCCTTCCTCAGTTGGAGGAGATGGTTGCTCTTCAACTTTTATTGATCTGTCTCTCACTCTCTAGCCAGCTGGTTATTTACTAAATAGATATGACGAGGAAGAAAAGATCTAATGCTAAATGCGTTTTAAGTTCCTGCTGCTTCTGTCCTAACCTACCTACCTACTGCTGTTAATCAACTTTTACCTTTTCTGAATCGGAATTATAATTAGTATTTATTCAATGAATCTTCTCCTCTGGCTTTTAATCTAACTCAACCTCTTCTGCTTTATTTATAATCCTCCAAAAGCAACACCGTTTTACGTGCCCACTCTATCAGATGACGAGCCGCTGGCGCCAGCAGGTAACAGCAATTTATAAGTTCCAACGATTTTTATTTAAATATTTAAATTTAGACTCGCTCATCATCACTAATTACGGAGAGTTTATCCTTGGTCAACAAGTAGAGGATCAATTTTGAGCTGATTTGCTTTCAGTTTTGAATTAGTTTAATTTGTATTTTATTTTAGTTTTTTTGAGTTTAGCCAGGCATGATGATAATAGACTGAAGTGAACGAATTATATACAGCCAAAGTTGATTCATTTATTCCTTGATCATTCAGTTTTATAAGAATTCAATTCCAAGTAAAAAAAAAAATGATGCTGAAGGATTCATGTTCTTCTAAATAATTTCTTTATACGATTAAGGGTACATTTAAAATATATATGAATACATGATGCACGTATGCACTAATGCAAATATAGCAATTTTATTAACTTGTTTTAAGTCCAGCATAATTACTCTTATAGCCAGATAGGCCTGCTGGGAAAAAACCTTGACTCAGTTTTGATGGTTAATTGTAAACATCGCAATAATGTGTGCCTATCATAACGAATTAATTAGGGCATTCATCTCACTAGCAAAATATTTTAGGAGATATACATGCATTAACACAGATCTTCATATAATTATTACACTTTTATCTGTCTATTGTATAAAGCTTTATATCTACTTGGATAACATGCGTGAATAAATATTAGTGGCATTTTTTATGTATTTTAAAAACTAGGTATTGTTGTATGAATAAATATAAAGTTGTAAGTATTAAACATAATGTACACAAGAACTCTTGGTATGTACATAAATCCCCCCAAAATGCTAATATGTGGAAAGAAAATATAGAATTTATATATAAATAGAATTCTATATATTAAAATGGAGGAGCTATGTTTTGAAAGAACAACGCGTTCATCTTCACTGCTACTGCCGTATGATAATAATGGTGGAAGTGATAGCAATAGAGAAATAGTGAAGTGAAGAAACTAATAAAAGAGTGGCAGATGCTGTGGAGTAGGAAAGATAGGAGAGACTGAGGCCTTTTATAGTGTGCGAGCTAGCGCTACCTACGCGCTTTCAGACTCCTTCACGCTATCTCTACCGACCCTATTCTTAGAATCCACACCTTATTTGTTGTTTCTTGATTGCATGCAATGAATGCGGAAGCCTTCCAGAATCTCCCATATCTTAATCTGGGTTCAGCTGCCTCGCCCACCTTATGGAATCGCTCGTATATATAGATTTTTAAAACCAGAAAAATAAATTTCATTTCTTTCTATAGGCGGGGACCACTTTGCTTGATGAGTCACGGATGAGTTAATAATTAATCGGGGAAGATGCATAATTATATATTGGAGAAATATGAGGAGACGGATTAATTACAGTGTTCTTGAAAGAGTACTGCTTCTTTCCTTTTTCATCTTTTTGGTGTTCCTTTTCAGGACAACTCAGATAGCTAGAGCGATCCACAGAGAGAGATTTGCATATTAGGGATTTATATCAGCTATATTATATTTATATATATATATATATATATATATATATATATATAACAAACGATTAAGAGTAAAGAGGCTGACTGTTGAAATGATTCAAATCTCACTTTTAGCTCGGTATTATCGGTGCCGAGCGAATAATCATCTCCAGAACTTGAACTTATCTCGAGTTTGGAGATTCAACACTATGTTCGAGCTTAGATCGTCGATTGATTGCATACCATGAAATGAGGCCTTTCCTTTTCAGGCCTTTCCTTTTGGTCGTTCATTTTTGTTAGATTGGTGTTGGTGTTTTATATATATAAATGTATATCTATGTATATATATATAACCGTGCAGTTTTAATTATCTATTGTCATGGATAGGAATTTGAAGAGGTTTTTCTTAGACTATTCTGTACAGGTCATTTAACTTGACTTATTTTGTTTGTTTTGAAAAAATTATCCTTTTTTTTATTATTTTACATAGCAGATAGATTTGCTTAAAAGTCAAACATAAATATTGCCTACTTGATCTAGTTCCGCTGTATATTACACACATAGGGTTGGAATTCATCACCAGTACTCCATATTCGATATCGTGATATGCCTGAATCATACAAATTCATTTTCTATAGATGTTTATATATAATATGATAAAATATGGTAGTAAATAAATATGAAGCAATTGGCTCAAATTTGTTGATTTATAAGAGGGGAACTTTCTAAGATTTGCTGATCTTAAATGGATAGGATTTGGTCAATAACGATCGACAGGCAAAGTTAATTCTGTATGTCGCGAGTCTTTTTACTGCTTAGAAATAAGGTAGGACGGAAGGATATGGGTTAACCAGCATTAATAAAAACAAATAACACAAACATGATTTTAAAAAATTTTAAAAGTATTTTAATTATTAATTGTTGATTCTAAATTGGATGAGAAGACAAAGTCATTTTCAAATGGAAACATTTTTATACTGCTGGAATATGAATACATGAATTGATGATAAATAGTATACATGTTAAATGATTTTGTGCGGCTGTTTAATTAATCGTCATATTTGGATTTTGTCATTTTGTCGTATTTCGTTATTTGTTTTGCCACAATCAATGTTCAAGCTCAAATGGAGTCTAGCTGTATAGATGTTTGGCGCTGCGTGTTCACGCATGCCAAATATTTGTTCATATCAGAGATCAGAGATCAACAAGCAAAAGATAACATAGAATGTTCAAGTATTATTTTTCTAATTTAACCGTTAAAATTGAGAAGAGTTACGAATTATGAATAAATAGAAGCAAGCATGTTGACAACAAAGGCTGCCGTGTTCCTTTTCTAGCATGATTATTATTATTACACATAAAAGGTTAAAATAATTGAGCTTGTTGCGTGGAAGAATTCAAAATTCATGGCTACAGTAACAATTTAATATCTTAGTATTGCACGAAGATTTAACATACATATATCTGAAAAGTAGCAAGAGACCATAAATTTTTACGTGAAAGAATTCAAAAAAGTAAAAAATCACGAGTAAAAGCACAGTAAAAGCAATTCATTATAAACATCTAGTTACAAAGTACACCATTTTCTCAAAACTAAAAAATCAGGCTTACTATTTTATATCATATACAATACTTGTTGATATATAACTTATAGAAAAATATAGATGTTAGAGACAATAAAAATATGTTGACAATGACTGTTGTAAATAGTGGTTGTCGGTGGCTAGTGAATGGTGTTGATAAGGCTAGTGTTGACGGCGATCGATAGTTATGGAGTCTTTGGTTATCGGAAGATAGTGTCGAGTATTCGGTACGAGTGTAAACAAGTTACAACCATATTTAGGATACAACATTTGCAAGCAGAGGTTGCAGACAACAAAAGTTCGGCAAGCCAGAATGTGCTTTAGAATTCCTCTTCTCACCCTCTTGGTCTTCTGACGAATAAATTCCCCAACCACCTTGTCGGTCAACCCAAATTAACCCACTTTTAACATCAAAATTCATGTTGGATAATAAAAAATTCTTGATCACGCGTCAGAGATCATTTGAATTGAGATCCCATAATTAGATTTGGTCTAGCTCTTGATTAAATCAATTTTTTTTTCATAAATTTATTTTCGTCAAATATGTCTTAACCAAAGCAAATTTTCACGAAGTACTAATCTTAACAAAATCTAATGGTTCTGATGGGCCTTTAATAAGTTCAAGTCATCAGCAGACACGGTCCAACAAACAAAAAGTTTATTTAACTTTCCAAACACCGCACTGAATGGCTCCTTGCAGCCCATAAGACTGTAATATGTTCACCAACGAGGTGAGCCTAGTAGCAATTTTTAGATAATGGATGTTAGCAGAAGTGGAAGATGATAGAAGCTTAAATACTTCA